CCTAAACGGTTCTATGATTCTATGATTATTTTACTGGAATTTAGGTTTCGATCTAGATCACATGAGTCAGTGTAAGACGCAAAAGAGACTATTGTTATCTGACTTCATTGGTTCTGCAGTAATGCCACTTGAAGATGTTAACTCTCTTTCATAAGAGATGCTTATGACTTGGGATTCATATTTCTTTCTTCTTAGCCTGAAGGGATTTAGAAAAATATTTAAAAGCGCAGTTGGAGATTGGACTTTTAAGAACACCAGACTACCCTTTTTATGTTTCAACTTGTTATGTAAACTTGAGGAGGGAAGAAAAACAGAGATTAGGTCAAGACAGGCTGAAAAACTTCCTTTTCACATCTCTGGTCTAACACAGTCTGGCGTTCTCATTGCATACTCAGACAATGCACCATTAACACTGTCTAGCAGCCACTGCTACTGCAACTTAGGTCTAAATCTAATTATTGCAATCAGAGAATAAAAGCAAATACAGCCAGATCTAATTCCTGACCCCAAATCAGAATACCCATACTACTCATGGCAGTGTGATCTGGTGCCACCTTATAATCAAGGTGAAATAAGCAGCCTTAGGGTCTGGAGAAGATAGCAAGACTAAGCATCTTCCCTTCCACTGCTGTTCATCCAGGGGCTGAGAGCCCTCAGTGTCTCTGTCAAGTCTGGGTCATCCCAAGCATGGAGGAACATGGAGGTGAGGTGACTGAGCATCCTTCTACGTATGGTTGTCTCTGTGTAGTGCTTTTACACAGACCTGTGGCTGATGCAGCAAGTACACAGCCAAACCCTGAGTAAAATGACATCTCTAACCAGTAGAAAGGCCATTTGCAAAGATTTCCTTAAGCTGCACTGAAAACAAGGGGAAGATTAAAACATGTTTAGATATTGTCTTTTTACGGTTCCTCAAAAGCACATATTTGGGATTTTTATCCAGAAGACAGGTGAGTGTTGGTCTCTTACTGCTAGAAGTGTTGTGAGATGAATTAATTTTTATTTGTTTTGGGGTTTTTGTGCTTACAGGTAAGGTTACAGGTTGGGCTCTACGTTGTGTATCTTCTGGACTGGCTGACAGTTTTTGACAAAGATCAGATACTCGTTCTACGCTTGGAGGACCATGCATCAAATGTGAAATACACCATGCACATGGTGTTCCAGTTTCTGGACCTGGGTGAGTGTCTTCTGGCTGTTTTGAGACAGGTGCAAAAAAAAAAATCCTTATTATCCTTCTTCTAGGTAATTTTTACTTTATTAAGAGACAAAACTGAAGTGTGGGAATCTGTCTGAAGGATGCATAAATCTTGTTGCCTGGAGTCAAGCAAAATTAAAATTCCCAAATTCCTATACAAAGGCTGGTGTTAGAAGATCTTAATAAGACTATATGAAGAAAAAAAAAATTCAAAGCCATTCAGAATGTAGGGATATATCTTACCATAGGGAAGCCAGTCCTGCTTCTGAAGGCAGTCAGGGCTTGTTTGTCATGGGCTTACATAGGTGCAAGAGGTATCCCACGCAATTTAAACAAATTGAAGTGCTACCGTGGTGTGCGTGCTGTTGCCAGCATGCACCAATCCAGAATCTAAATCTGACGATGATGAAAGGTTGCGTTTCTAGCCAGGGAGAAGGGGGAAATTGTGTTTTTGCTGTGTTGATTGAGACATCTGTTGCTAATCCTCAGAGAAACGCTGGCAGACAAAATGTTGCCCAATGTTGATTTGTCAGTAGCAAGAGGATGAAAATGTGGCTGCAAAATAGTCTGGCTGGTCCAAACACTGGTCTAGATGATGAGAAAGTTTGAATGTAGCAGATTGAACAGATGAAGAGCTTGGCATCTTCTTCCTGAACATGGTTTACGCTGGAAAAGTCTGTGGGTTTTTATCTTGCTGAAGTACATTGTCAAGGGCTTACATTTATTCCTGGAATAGGGGCATCACTGTACCTGTGTACCACTTTGATCCCATTGACAGTCTCCAAAACAAACAAAAAAGGGCCTGCGTGAGTGAAGGTTGTAGAGTTTCTACTAGGTCTTAGACAATTCACATCATAAAATGAACTAACGGTATAAAATAATTGCAGCTCCAAAATGGACAGGAAGTTGTATGCAATGTCATAGTTGTTTTCTGAAAATGAATTTTTCCCTCCAGAAATTATTTATGCTGCTAGTTGTAGAGATGATTAATTAATGTGAAAGGAAAACATTTTATTTCCATATTTACTAACAGTGATTTATTTTACTAATCTAAGCCTGTATTCAATTTTCTGAAACATCATAGCTGCTAAGAGAAATTCCATTTGTCTTCCCCTGGCAAACCTTCTGATTTAGTCATTTGTCTTCTTTAGCATGGGCATTTTTGGTGAAATATTTTAAGATAATATTCTATTTTTCCACAGGACCTCTCAGTGAGAAACAAGAAGCTCTGATTACAAAGAGTCCTGCATCGAACACTAGACGACCTGAAGACAGAAGTCTGGGACCTATGCTACCAACAACGAAGGCAATTCTAAGAGATTTCTATAGGCCTTTTAATACAAAACTGGCACAAGTTCTTTTTGATGATGCTTTTTTATGGAAGAGGACATAATATGTAAATTTAGTGCCACAAATACAGTGCTTAAAGGAGTTTTTATTTTTTTAGATTCTATTTTTGTGCTTGGATATATACATTTTTCCCATTCCAAAGAGAAGCCGATTGATGAACTGAGACTCACCTTCAGTCAGCACACTTCATGACAATTACACCACATTTTCCTTGTGAGAATGTAAAGCATCTTGCTTACCAGTTTATTGCAACTTCTTTCACCCCAGCAAAAGAGTAGAGTGGAAAAACATTAGTACAAAGATGATGTCTTACACTCTCCATGGGGATGTTGAAGTTTAACCTTCTCTAAGATGCTGCAACACAGAATTAGCATCAGTTTCCTACAGTTACGCTTATAACCTCATTTTCAATATATGTTATTCATTCATTTTTTCAAACTATCAATGTCATTTAGTCATTAAAATTTTTAATTGAATTCAACCTATAATTTTGCTTCTTTTTCTCAGCATATTCACTAATGGTCTTCACTCACACTAAGGTTTTTATGTTACCTTAATTCTGAAACAAAGATGAAGGATAATTGCATTTACATAAATTTCCAAGTCTAATTTATATCTTCAACATAAATGGACTTTCCTAGCCACAGTTCTTGTAAAAGAAGATTTTATATTCCAGGTAAGAATGGATGACTGAAATCTAAACAACAGGCTACATTTAGTGTAACAAATCCATTGTCTTCTATATTTTCTTCATGTAAATACAAATGCATATCATTTTTTCATATCACTCACATATTTTCTGAGGAAACCACTAATGGGCTTGATGTAAAGTCCGTTGCTGGCCATGGAGAGCTTTTACGGAGTTTTCTGTTAGGTTCTACACAATTACTCTTCTCTATTGCAAAGAAATATGCACTGTAAAATCAATATGAGATATTGTCATTAAATGCATAAATGGACAGTATGGACAGTATCCTATCCATTTATGCGTTTAATAAGGATGTGCTACCTAATGAATTAGTTTAACATTATGTGTTTCCCTCTTCAGGAAAGATGTCTACATCTAGTTAAAAAGGTTGAGATGTGCAGACTTGAGAAAAAAACATTTTGAAAGTTGTGGAGAAACTTCGGACTATCTGAAAGTTTTTTTTTTTTATTTGAGTAGACTGGGCACATTTCTGTATAAATGTGCAGTAATTCAATATTTGATTTCAAACACACCTGGTTAGGGTCACTGTCGGCTACAGTCTGCAGTCTTCCTGCAGGTGGAAATGGCCAGCATACTCTACCTAAGCTAGGGACATTTTTGAGAGACGAATGAAAATACTGCCTGTTGACAATTCCCTTTCGATACAGGACCCCGCGATACAGCTTACTGACATATTCACAAATACATTTACAAATACTAAGGTAGCTATTCACCATCCTCCTCCATGGGCAAATGTTATTCACCTCCTGTACTTCTAAATTGAGAATTAATGCTGAAAACTTTGTGAATTCTGAACATTTCACACATGAATATGATTAATGACACGTGAGTTTTTTTGTAACAAAAGTCCATTTCTAGGTCCTTTGCCAACTGGTAATTCACTGCTTAAAAAGGATTCAGTCTGGTGTTTGGAAAACCTAAGATAAGTAATTTAGGGAAATAGTTCTAGAGAACCCGAACAGATTAGTTCTAGTTCAGAAATGCTTCCAGACCAAAAATGGTTAGAGAACTGAGAATAGACTATTTTAGCAGTACAAAAAAGTATCATGGCAGCACAAACCAGAAAATCAGAATGAATTCACAACTGTTTGCAAATGTAAAATTTTCAGTCGACAATTTATTTACACTAAAGATTTCTGCCAGCTGTGCTCTGAATTAGAGTCAATACTGTGTGGTCAGGATAACTTTGTATGGAACGTTTGCTAACCTGATCTGCCATGGTCAAATATTTCCATTTAGTTGTTAGCTACAACCATGATCTAATGAAATTATCTTACCAGCCCTAAAAGCTACTGAATGTATCTGTCATTATCATTTAGCATGAGCATTAATTCCATGAACAAATCACACACAGTAGTTTGTGCCACACTCTTGTGTGGTGCTGAACTCTTAATTTCTGCCTGCAGACTCACGCAGTCCACCAGTGTTCAGGGAGGTTCTCTCTGCCCTTTGCCTATGTATCATCTAAATCAAAACAGTCTTCGTGGTCAAAATTTCTGTTTTAGGTTGAATCATACCCACCACCCTGCTAGATCAAGACCTTGCCTAGCGTTGACTCAGAGGAAGGAGAAAGGTTGAAGGTTCCCTGTACGAGGGTGGACAGCGGTGACCACATGTGTCCGAGCGTGGGTAAGATCAACAGAGATCTTACCAAGTGTCATCGTGTTGTCTGTAGCACAGTAACACACGGGGAAGGTGCTATAGCTATCAGTGATCTGTTAGGAGCCTGTGGTCGTTCTGAAAGTGAAGTCTCCAGTGAGGCTACTTTTGTGTCTTCATCTCTTTCATGAGCTCCAAAATATGATCTCTTGATTTAATGCATTGCCACTTTATATTGTTGGGTTGTGCCATGACTAAATATCAAAAGGTAGCAAATTAACTGTAAAGAGGGCATCTTGGAGGTAAGGATGTTGCAAACTAGTCCAGACTGTGAAAAATAGTATTGATCTGGTGACTCAGAATAAAATAAGATAGCATTTGATTTTCTTGAGTGATGTGACAGTGCTGGGTGTCAGACCCTCCTCTTCTTCAGCCACAGAGCAGACAGCGTACCACTGCTGTTCAGTGGCTTCACTCCAGCCTCACAGCAAACCTCTACACAGGATAAAGCTCACCCCGAGTTCTTCCAGTTCCCTTTACCTTTCTGTTGACAATTCTAGCCGTGAAAGAATTCAATATTATTGTTGTTATTCACTGTAGCACTGAGCTGACCTACATCCCCAGAACACTAATTTGCTAAGAAATAGGACTTACTATCAAGACAATACATTTTCATGTTTACCAAAGCGTAGCAGTGGTTCTTTGCAAAGACCGCAGAAAATGTGTGTCTCGTACTGTGTTTTTACTCCTATCTCTGCTGAACAAAAGTAGTCAGGCAAAGATGCAGCTTCCCTGAGTGCAACTGCACTGAGGAAAGGGTCGTTCCCAAATATTCTCGCTGCTACCACAGAAGAATGTGAAATGTGTTTTCTGTAAGACCTTGTGTGGTTGGGCCAAGCATTTTGGCTGGCTGGAAGCAGCACAGTAAAAACAAAGGATCTCCTGCTAGGAAAAACAGGCACTGGTTGATATGAAAAATGGTATGTTGTTACCTGTTGAGTCCAGTGCACAGACTTGTATGCTTCAGCTTAATAAACTGAAGATAAACAGTGAAGTTGTCACAGTTCTGAATCTATCTTTCTGCCAAGAAATGAATCCATCTTCCAACTAAGCCAAACGCCCTTTTTCTAAAGACAAGGCACAACGGCGTCACAAAAAGTGACTCCTGCTAGCTACCCCTAACACAGGCATGTTAAATGAGGCATTTCATGAGGAGCTCTTTTCTAACCAAAATCCTTGCCTTGCAGTACCATCTCGTGGTGAACAAGGGCAATACTGTGTGCTGTGGCCATGCATGCATTTTATTTCTACATGGAAAAAAAGAAAAAGCAGGTGCAAAAGGAAAAAAATAATTTCCACTTCTTTTCAGTTGCCCACAGGAACAAAATTTCCAGTGCAGCCCAGGAGTTGGGGACCCTACGGAGAAGTGCTGACTCTGCAAAGCCCTAGCAATGTAGAATCATTTAGCTGGGAAAAGACTTTAAGATCATCAAGTCCAACTGTCAATGTAGCACGGTCAAGTCCACCACCAAACCAAGTCCCTAAGCACCACATCTACACATCTTTTAAACACCTCCAGGGATGGTCACTCCACCACATCCCTGAGTGCCTGACAACCCTTTCGGGGAAGAAATTTTCTCCAATATCCAATCTAAATCTCCCCTGGTGCAACTTGAGGTTGTTTCCCCTCATCCTATCGCATGTTACTCGGGAAAAGACACCGACCCCCTCCTCACCACATCCTCATCCTTGCCGTCCCTCCTGGGGAGCTGCCGTAGGTGCACTCTCCCACAGGGATTTGCCAGCACCAGTGCAGACCATCACGCAGCACTTACCTCTGCACAGAGGGAACGTGTCAGGTCATGTTATTGCAGTAGTACTTCTAGTTGTTAATAAGTAGTCAGCCCAGAGCAGCTGCCAAACCACTGTCAGGCCGTGGCCTGGGAATCCTGCGTTGCAGAGATGCTGCGAAGGGCTTTGATCCACACTTCTGTCCATACGGGCTCTCTGCCTGCATCAGGGGAAAAATATCATCAGCGGCTGAGGCTGGGGAGATGCTCGCCTCTGCCGATTTCAGCCATGTCCTACTGGGGAGCCTTGCTTTTAAGTCATAGCTCCTGTGAAAACTCTCCCTCAATCAATAGAAAGGCCCTTTAAATGATTGCCAGCATGGCAGGGGCTTAATGGACTGCTAGGCTCAAAGCTGCTGTTAAAAATTAGAGGCCTGCTGTGTACGTATTAAGCCACAATTAGCAGAAAATAAGGTTTGGAAGTGACACAAATAGTAATCAACATATCATACTTCAGAGGAAAGACACACTTCCCATCCCTCACTCTCATCAATTCTGAGCATCCGTTTGCTCAGTGAAAAAGCTGCTCCTTTGAGCAGGTGTAGGTGTGTTCATCCCTCCGGAGCCAGGCTGGCAGGGGCAGGGGCTGCTGGCACCCCCAGGCCGTGCCAGGGCAGAGGGGCACTGGGGACGCTGGGCTCCCTAGGTGTTCATCTGCCTTCTCCTGATATCACCCACCAAATGTACTTTTCTCCAACGATGGCCACAGGAAGAGGGTAAGATCTGTGTGCACATCTGTAGCACGATGATGGCGTTTTGACACCTCTGATGCTTACAGGTGTGACAAGTCCCAAACCCATGATGTGACCATTTCATCACCTCTGGTCCCTGGAGAGACAAGCCCCAACGGGTTCCCTACCTCCAGAAGGGTCAAGCCCTTGGTAGAGGTAGAGTCCCTACCTCTACGTCCAGAAGAGTCATGCCTTTCATCTTCAGTTTGAATCCACAACCCAGCAGCAGGATCCCACACACTGCAACATTCCCCCTTCCCTACCTCCCCAGCTGCTCGCACTCCTTTGGCTATGGGTCACAGGTGTGAACGATCTAGAGGAAAAATGCAGAAAACACAACTCTAAGAGCTTTAAAATTGCTGCTTAGTTACTGAAATAGCAGTTGCTGGGGTAACAACCTACTGCATGGCAGCGGTGGCACTGCACAACTGCTGCATGGGACATCTTCCCCAAGGAAAACACGGGCAAGTAGTGGCATTTACTATCAGAAGGAGGGGAGAGTAATTCACAGTTCTTTCCTCAGTCTGGGTATATCTCGCACACTTACAAAATGATCTCTTCCTTTACTAATGAATGGGAATGAGGAAAGGAA